GTGATGGGTGCATCTCAGGTGTTTGAGGAGTTCATCTGTCAGAGGCTCATGCAGGGCTACCAGATCATCGTCCAGCCCAATAACAGAAAACAGCAGCCCGCTGTGGCCACGCCCCTCGGCAGCAGTCCGCTGTACTCCAGAGGTGAAAGAACTCTTTGTAATCTATTACATCGTCATCATTAGTCTGAGCAAACACAGAGGAAGCAGAAACAAATAAAGCAGCCGTACTTTGTAGTAGTCTTCAGAGTATCTGTTTGTGTTTACAGCTGAAAACTGAATTTAAAAGTTTTGCTTTTTCAGTTTTTAGAAGAAGGCCGGCTCGAGGTATGTGACAGTGCGAGCTCTTTTCAATCACTGGATGGTGGGTGCACGTATGATGTTGGATGCTGTTCTTTCCAGTTGCACATTGAGTGCAGAGCCGGTCTGTAGATGAAGACGAAACGACGCGTCTTCTCTTTGGGCTGCAGCTGCTTATCTGTCAACCTTCAGTCATAATAACCGTAGAACAGACGTCCGTGTGCCAGCTGTGGCGTCTTAAAGAGAAACGCCAGGTGTTTGTCACTACGTGTGACACGATTCTTCTCGTGTCTTCAGGTCTGGTGTCTCTGCGTCGGACAGAGGAGGAGGAGAGCGTTTACTGGCTCAGCATGGGCCGCACCTTCCACAAAGTCTGCCTCAAAGACAAGATCATAACGGTTACTCGCTACCTGCCAAAGTGAGTGCACCCAGCCCAAATACACCAACACGAGAACCAGCAGGCGTGTCCTGTCAGAGCAGGGCTCTTAGTCCTGCGCAGGCCCCCCTCTGAGGACCCGTGGCTGGATCCACACTGACGTGTAGAAACAGACGGAGGCAGCAGCAGCTTTTAATAAGTAATGAGATAAAAACAATAATTATTTGGCTAAAATCCAACTTTGCTTTTGTGTAGATTGATAGCTTAAAGCAGTATTTGGAATTACTAAGTAGAAAAGTAATCCGTTACTTTTACTAGTAATGGATTACTTTTCTACTCCAGGACACTCTGTCTGCAGTTGTGAATGAACGAGCCGAAGAATCGTTGGCTGCTGTGACGCGTGGAGACATACGTGAACCGTTTCTCATGTTAGCGCGAACGCCACGCTGGCACCAACAGCAGCTCGTGTGTTTCAGGTACCCGTACGAGTCGGCTCAGATCCAGTACAGCTACAGCCTGTGTCCTCCGCACTCTGATGCTCAGTTTGTTTGCTGCTGGGTCGAGTTTGGACACGAGAGACTGGAGGAGTACAAGTGGAACTACCTGGACCAGTACATCTGCTCTGGTGGCTCGGAGGACTTCAGGTAGCAGTGCTGTCGGGACGTTACTGTCCTTTTACCGTAGCATTTGAATAACTTCCCACATCGTGTATGTAATATGCACACGCCAGTCACATCCTCTGCCTCCCCAGTTTGATTGACTCGCTCAAGTTCTGGAGAACTCGCTTCCTCCTGCTGCCGGCCGGAGGGGCTCGTCGGGTGGCGGATGGGGAGGGACACTGGGACGTTTACGGGGAGGGAGCGGGTGCTGGAGCGGGTAACAGCGGGGACTGGGTCCTGTTGGACGGCTTCATTCGTTTCCTGGAGGGTCTCAACCGTATTCGGCGCCGGCACCGCTCTGACAGGATCATCAGGGTGAGATTTTGATTGCAAGCACATCAAAGTGGAGCTCGTTACAAACCACTGATCTGCAGTGTTGTTGGCGCTGACGCATCGTTTTCTTATCTGATATGCAGCAGAAGAGTGCGCCCCTCAAAGGGCTCCAGGTGACCAGCCCGCTCTCTCCGTACCCCGCTGAGCCCGTGGCGCCACCACAGGGCAAGAAGGGCACGTCAGCCTTATCAGCCCTGCTGGAGATGGAGCAGAACCAGAAGTGCGTGTCCCCTGGACCTGTGGCTGTCTGAGCCTTGTATTACGTTCATGGTTCTTCACAGAACTTTAGGGCTTTGTAATTATTCTGTGGTTTGCTGTGCAGCGTGTCAGTCTTTATAAATGTTGTGCTTCGTGTCAGGACACTGGAGGAGACGGCGAAGCCCTCAGCAGCCGTCGGTGACCCTGCAAGTGTGACCGCAGCTCCCACATACGTAGACAGCCCCCGCAAGGTGAGGATGTGTGCGCCCGGCAGAACACGTCCTTTTGCTTCACGCTGAGCTTCTGCAGACACGTGTGCGTTTATGGTGCTTTGGTGTGCAGCTCTTGCTTTCTCTCCTTCCATGTGCTTCCTGCCGTCATCTGTTTGGTTCCTGTTGCTTTGGGTGTTTGA